AGTGACCCAATCGAAGCCTGTCCTGCATGCTTTTGTCCCGGCAAGCCATCTTCTCCTGTTTGGACTGGAGGAAGAGCAGAGAAATACAGGCATCAAACGAGCGCTGGTGAGTCCACATGGCCTAAACCAGGGCCTCTAAAACTAGCCCATGTCAAGAACCCACAATGACCAGCTGGAAATGAATCGCTGAAAATAAGTCACAGTGCAATTAGATGAACGTACTTTTTCAATCAGCAGCTTCTTAGACATGGTCACACACTTATTTAAGCGTTCCTTGTATCGTTCCAGCATCCTCTGTTGTTCATCAATCTGTCTCCTCAGATCACAGTTTGCCTGGAACAGAACATAAAAAACGCGGAGAAATGGTCAGGTAAAAAAGCATTAACAACATTTTAACTTGTTTATATATGTTCAGACAGAAGGAATGTCAACTCTAACATGCCTTGAGTGAAAAACCAAGACAGAGAACATTATATTCACAAAATCATTAAAAATGGCAAGCAGAGTAGCAGGGATGAAATGTAATGAGATTAGTACCCGCAGCAAATCGTCTATTCGGCCCTCCTTCTTCTCCAGGTCAGAGTTCTTGTTGTTCTCCATTGCTGTTAGTTTCTCTATAGTAAGGTCAGACTACAGGGTACAGTGAGCACAAAAACAGTGTTTGTTAATGGTTGTTCATTCTGTATCAGAGGGTGCAAAATAAAACTTTGTGTAGTGCAAGTAGTCCTAGCTAACAATCTCTTCCAGTTGCTGAAAGTCAAATCTTGTAAGCTCCTGGTTTATATGCAAATGATATAAGAACTGGCTTTTGAATTATAATAAACATTTTTAATATAAGGAATTAAATGATAAACAGCCAGCAAGCCCTAAAAGCATGTCATGTACCTGTGTGGCTTTGTGGAGCATGTGAAGAGAAGCAGGCTTCACAGAACACGTCGAGTGCTCGGTGTTGGCCGAGCTTACGGAGGACGGGCTTCCTTGCTGCACCTGGGAAGCAGAAACAGTCATCCAATAAAAACCTTACACATACAGAGGGTGTCTTAATGTGTGAATTTCATCACATTAAAGAATTTATGGAGACCTGCTGCTGCTAGTCATGATAAAACATAAGACCGATCTGGCAATAGTAACTTTGCATAAAAATTTGCTATCAGAGGTACGAGAGACTGGGTCTCACTGAAAAGTACTTTAGAACTTAATTTAGTTCAAGGCTTTTGAGTGATTCATTTTAATCGTTAAGATGTAAGGTCTCCAGTTCACAAAAAAGAATCAAACACCAGAAGGCATATGCAACAGGTTTTTATCGCTTTCATTGGTTTTCGCTTTTCTAGGAACTTTGGCCAACATCACTACACACTGAATCTGTACACAGTGTTTAAAGACCACATCAGATTCTTCCCACTTGTAAACAGACTTCACCTATTGGTGTTAATAATAAGCGTGGAAGAGAAAAAAACGCAGGACAGAGTGTTAGGAGACAAAAAGTATGAGACAGACCATAGAGCAAACATGCTCACCGTGACAGGGGGATTGGAGAGGGAGTGTTGTGGGGAAGAGCGGACCACTGGTGGAATTCCCCTGGCAGGGCTGGTACCAGGACCGCTACCTCCCGCAAACTGACAGACACGCAAAGAGAGAATAAGAAGAGGAAAACAGTTCAATGGAAAGACCAAGATGGCCACAAAAGGGGTTAGAATGTAAGTATGAAAGGTTACCCAATGCTGAAGCATTTTAGAGGACACACTCAGTAGAACAAAGAAACAATTTTCTGTCACTCACCTCAAAATAATCACTAATTTTATGTCCTCTTGCTCCTGCTTTGCCTAGAAAAGAGGAGCATGAAGTTCAGAGAGAGGCTAACGTGTGGGATACATGATGAGAGGACACAATCCACAATCCTACCTTGGCTGCTGTCAAAATGGTCTGCTTTCCGTTTTCTCACTCTCTGGTCATTTGCTTTTTTCTCAGGAGTCTGTCGGGAAAGTAGTGTGAATCAGCCACGTGTAAAATAAGATGGGTGGAAGGAAAAAAAAACCTAGTTACATGTGACAGAGACTAACCTCTAGCTCCTTGTCACTGAGCGAGCCCACACTGCATAGACTCTGATTGGATGACTCGTTTTGGTTCTGACCGGAGCCCTGTTAAAATGAGGCAAAAATACATTTAAAAAAATAAAACATAAGGACCAATTAAATACAACAATGCATGAAAGATGCAAGAGATGCGTATGTGTGCACATGCACTCGCTGTGTATGCATGCACATGTGAGAGAGAGCGCACACAGAGTTAGAAAACAGAGTAAAATGGGTAAGACACTAAGGGAAAGGATGCGGAGGTTTGGCTAAATACCGTCACCATTAACTTCCCACTGAATCTAGACCTGCATCAGTCCTAATGCCGGTTCCCTAGGTGATGCCTGTCAGTCAAATGAATCACATCAGAATTCAGCAGGCACTGTCCAATCAGGGAGAGATACTTAGTCATTCAGAGCACACTAGAGCTCTCTCACTGAACCCTCCTAAAATGGCTGAACATTAGGCATGCTGCTGAGGATGTATTCCTCCCTCTGTCTGTCACCTTTAGATAATGTCATCCATTTTTCTGCTGTTCACCATGGTCTTAACAGTTTTTTCCCCCCCTTCTCCCTCTCTCTGGAGAAAGATGCTCTGCTTGATCTAAGAATGACAGCTTTTTTTTCACCCCCTCTCCCCACCAAGATATCTTGGTTGTTTGATCAGACTTGTTCAAAAGGAAATGTACTTTTCAACAATTTGAGTAGGCCCAGTCTGTTCCACTGCCAAAAATGTTTCCTAGTTCTCTGTCCTCGAAGGATAACAATTTTCCTTCCCTTTCTACCACCTCGTTGATGACAGCGAGAGCAGCAGTGCCACTTGGCTGTTCAAGGTCAAAAAAAGAGGCTGCTCTGTGACATTGAAGGGCTTTTAGACCACTAACCCATATTTCTTCATAGCCATTTGTTGACACACTTCTCTCTCACTTCCCCCCTACACACATTGCATCTCTTGTCATACAGGGTGGCTGTGGCATAACGCCTTAGTGAGAGCCGCCATTTTCTCTGCGGCAGCAGCCATGCCATGCTCTGGGCTCAGCTCTGCCTATGGCTGGCACAGGGCCCACTCCTGGCGCTGACTCTCACTCCCTAACTGTTCCAAGATCACCTTCCACAAAGACAGCTCCATCCGTGGAGCAAGCGAGAGGGTGGAAGGCTAAATGCTGCCTCCACTCACACCTGGTCAAGAACTATTTCTGCATTCCTCCTCTGCCTTCATTCCTCCTCCCCCTACCACCCCTGTCCTGTCTGTGGCCTTTTTGGCAAGCATCGCCACTTGCATATACAGCCACTACATCATGAGCCAGGGAGAGATGCCATATCACACCAGCCAAAAAACACAGACACAGCTCAACCTTCTCCAGAGACAGACAAAGAAAAGGAGTGGGGCCAAGCTTGTCCAGGCCAAACAGCAGAATGATACTGAGGCAGAGTAAGACAAAGAAAGGAAGAGATTCACAAAAATGTGTAATCAAGAAAATCTGTGATTAGAAGCACTTTGACAGGAGAGAGTTCTCGTGCTCCACCTGAGCGACATCTGCTGTAACACAAACCTTAGCCACGCCGACCCCGGTGAAGCGAGCCTCCAACAGCTCCTGCCGTCGGGGGTCCAGGCTATGCAGTTCTTCCATCATGGCTGCGGAGACAAGAGCATAGATTAAGGAAGGCGTTGTGGGGTCTGGTATATTCAAGTGGGAGTGACGGATCACGGTTTCAAAAGCATTGGTTGTGATGAGTCATGGCTGTTTTTAGCTATATGGATGTGGAAAATTCCTGTTCTGAGTCATCAATAAGCCTGACAACAATGTTTTCCACTATCATGTGTGTTTAGAAAGCACCAACCATGCAACTTCAGCACTCAAGTTCAATATTCACAGTACAGAAAGGCCCAATGTGGCCAAACAATATGGCCAATTAATGGACATTAAACATGTATCAAAGACATACGCCAGATGTGTAGAGTCATTGTCTAGAATATTACAGCATCATGTGATAACACCCTGGCATTATAGGCCCAAGCTGCATGGCGCTGGAGTTATGAAAGGTCACTAATGGAGGGACTGCCAAGTATACTCACAGCAATGGATAAGGCCACTGCAGACAATAAGTGCCCAGCTTGCTCGCTTGTGCAAAGGTTAACGTTAAAGTTACACGCCCAACACTGGACGCTCTCTGTATGTTATCTAAGGCTTACATACATTAAAGGGACACAGTCTGGGCATTATTCCTGTATAACATGAAGTCAGGTTTGGGGTTTGCTGGCTCAGTTTGCACCATAATGACCAGTATAACCAGTATAACTATCTCAAACACCAGCATTAAATGTTCGGGCGAGCTAACGATGTTGGCATCACTTAGCATTGGAGCTAACAGTTAACGTTAGCTACTAGCATTGGATCAGATTTTTTTTTTTTTTTTATTATTTTTTGTCAAGTAACGAACCAAAACAAGACAAACGCTAACTGATGTTGGGCCCCAGTCACACCTGTCTGATGACACGAACTGTCCGCAGCAGTGAACTATCTTACAAAACACAAGCAAAGATGGCTAACGTCAGGCTAGCCCAGGAGGCTAACGTGAACTCATCTGTCATTAAAAGAAGCGTCTTCCTCGGTCCGGTGTTGTCAGGTGTTCGTACCACGAAGCCTCGCCTCGCTGTAAACAAGAGACCCCGTCCACATATGTCATTTTGTTCGACACACCAACGGGACTACTTACTGCAATTTACTCCTCTCTCGGTGCTCCGGAGGGCCTGTTGTTAACCCTGGATCGTCCCCGTTGTTTCCCCCCGGTGCTCGGCAGACCCTCCCAGGCTAGGCCGCATCAACAGCCGCGTCCCTCGCGTACCGGCCGCTGACTATCGAGACACGGGAGCGAGCGGTGCGGCTCAAGGTAGACGACGGTGGATTCCCCTCGGAGGCCTCGACAACTCCGGGTATCCCAAACCCGCCTTGCTGTAGTGCTTAGGCGGGGATCCCCATCGCATCCCTCTCTCCAAGGACCATACCGTGCCTGTGTCGGGTATCTCGCTTTCCACACAATGGCGACTCTTTGAGATTCTGCGTTTTTCCACCAGGTATAAATGCTGTCTTTGGGTTAGCGATAGTTACCCCTATCTTTCTTTTTTTTCCCCCCACCCCCCGGTGGTGAGATAAATTTCGGGTCCTGGCTTTTACAGCTCGATCAAAACAAAGTTCGTCTCCAGTCGCCTTTCCTCGCCGCAGGGGGAGAAACCAATCAGTTTCGGAAGTTGTGTTGTTGCAAAGCGTTTCAGTTGAATCCGGATCGATTCGGTTCGGTTCTCATGTTTTTGCAATGTAAACAATAATCAGTAAAATCTCATATTTTCTCGTGAGATTAAAGTATTTTCACCTTCGTTCAGTCCACGCCTGCCCCAAAATCTCTTGTCTCGACCAATGGCAAATCCCTGTGTACACAATACAATTTAACAGCGCCCACCCACGCCACCACCTAAATGATCACTTATCAGAAAGTGGCTATTACCACGATGTTCACACCCACATACTGTACTTATATAATATCAATAAATTGCCAAATTTATGTCCCCCCCTCCGTAAAAAGTAGCCATTCAAGCATAAATGTGGGTTTAATCATCCAAGAGACTGATGGAAAGCAAGTAGTAAGACCAATATCATTAAATGTTTCCTTTTTTTTTTTTTTGAGTGCATCAAAGTAAATAACAGATTTGCAGTTTTTAGATGTTTATTTATTTTGCATGTACAAAAAAAATGTCATGAAGTTATAGTCTTAAAAATCATGCCATTTATTTCAAAACAGCTCATTAAAAAAACAACATCTGGCAGAATAGAAACAATCAGGTGTGTGTGTGTGACCAGCCCTTTCTCAGATTACTCAACACGTCAGCACAAATTGTCACTCGTGCGGCTGAACGTGCAGCAACACCAGGAACACCAGCCTTAAAACGAGTCCGTCGACATTATGGCAGCTGAGATAGTGTGAGGCCTTTACAGAGTGTCACTATTCAGGTACGCCCCCCCCGTCCCCCCTTTATCACACTCACAATAGAGCTTCTCAATTCCATACATCCTCAGGAAAAATAAAAGCCAGCACCGCCTGGATTTCAGCCCCTGGTTTCAGTCGTAGGTATAGGTCAAGCCAGACGGGATTTCTTCCGGTGTCTCAGCCCTGCGTCTCAGCCGGCTGATGTAGAGCCTTGCGGTACTTGCACTGGATCCACACCCTGTACATGGTGAGCTGTTTGCCTCTATTCACCTGCAGCCGTCGGTCCACCAGGTTCTGCACTTTCTCGAGCCCTGCCTCAGTGAACATCTCGTGGAGCTCATCTGAAATAAAGATATACAGGAATATGTTCATATATATATATATATATAATTAAATAGCAAATAAATCTTTACTAATATGTCTTTATTTATTTTACCTTGAGTAAAGAAATATACTCTTGTTCCATCACCTCGGACATAGAAGTTTTCTGACAGACACCTTCCTAAAAGAAGTAAAGTTAATTATTATACGACAAATTCCAAACTTTAAATAGACAAACAGCTATTTGGACTGTGGCCTCACTGGACTTCAACCCGACTAACCTTTCTTGAAGCGCAGCTGTGCCATATCGTAGCGGCCATAGTCCCTGAGCAGCATCACTCCCCCGGGCTTCAGCAGCCGCGCTAATCTACTGATGGAGGCCTGCATCCTGAGACAGGGTGATACTTTAAAAGACAACCAGTGCTATATTCAATGACTCGCACTGAATGAAAACCAAAGAGAAAAAGAAGACGACAGACAAAGAAGTTCTTACTTGTCGGGATGCAGCGCTGATAACACAAAGATTAGCACTATAACATCAAGGGTTCCATCGGGGACGGGGTAATTAGCTTCCACATCACTCAAGTCGTGAACAAAAGCAAAACAGCGCTCAGGGTCGTATTCTGGATTACTCTGATGACAAGAGAACAATGTTAATTCATCAATTAGCCCACAACTGTTTGAAATGACTACATCTATCAAGACATCATGCTTTCATTATTCACATCCTCTCACCTTGACTAACTCCACAGCAGTGCTGGAGAAGTCACAGCAGTAAACAAAGAGTCCTGGGTCACTGCAAGAAGCAACGCTGCAGTTATATCTTTACGTGCTCACCATAAGACAGAAGTAGAAAACAGTATTTATCAAACATGACTTGAAATGCCATGGAAATGCCTTAACTGGACTTACTTGTTGGTCTTCAGAATTGGGAAAACTGTATTGCCTACGCCGCAGCCGACCTGTCGGATAAACATGAATTCATGTAGCATTTATTTGGTTTACTCCAATTTGCACTCAGTGTCAAACATTAACACCTGTAGTAGCAAAGTCTGTGTTTAAATTGGCAAAATAATAAGAGATACCACCACGTGATCCAGGTAAAATCAGTAGAAAAGGCCATTTATTTTGTGTTGCAGCCACGCAGCCTTCATTAGTGACATGAGGAAGGCTGGAGAGCTGAAAACTTTTTATTTTTTACTCTTCAGTAAACAGCTAAAGATGATGAAAGATTAGAAATGCTTTATCTGCATCTGGAACTAGATTTGCATCAAATTAGTAGCCAATCATGGGATGTGTATCATATGTTTAAGCAATTAATCAAGAAATTCTTCATAAAATTCACCAAAAACTATAATCTGTCAACACATTGTTTAAATAACTTGGTAGAAGTAAATATAACAGCAGAGATTTTTCTTAAAGTTGAACTAACTTGCTTTCAAATGAATCTCTCACCTCCAGAATGCGATATGTGGCAGAGGTTCCAGGAATGTCACCATCAGTGTGAGACACAGCTGCAGCTTCCCTTCTTTGTTCTTCTTGGTCCAGACCATCCTTCTGACTATCATCTGAGACCTCAAGACGGGACTCATGGTTAAGGCTACACTGCGGGGCCAACTCTGGGAACTCTGTGAAGAGCCAGTGGCGGTCTTTGAAGAAACGATTCTCATGGATTGTGTAAAAATCGTTCCAGTACTCATTCGCCCGGCAGTCGTATTCCTCTGCAAAAAAGACGAGGCAGTTAAAAGTCTAGCACATCTCACCGTGGTTACAAATCACCACAAAAAAGCTTAATACAGCTCAGTCAGACAAGCACTGTGCACAAGCAAAGGATACAGTTGATTATGATCAATTTTACTTAAAGTGAAAGTCATCCTATGTCATTTTAGTGGTTTACCTAAAGCCAGTTATTTAAGACAACTGTCCAAAATGAATTATGGTCACAACACTATAAGCCAATTAGTGCACACCATAAATATTCTTCAACAAGACCGATGTTTGTTTCTTTTAACACAATAATCACATAAACTCAAATTAAGTGGAAATGAATGCATAAACATCGTTGAGGGATGCGGTCCTCCTGATTAGAAACAGAGTTCTGTTACTGATCCTTGATGCCAGTCTTACTATGACATTTATGTGTATGAACAATGAGTCTTGACAACAATAATGCAACCTTGTTTCTCCGAGGGCAGCGGCTGACTGTTTTCTAACACTTTCTTCTTGGCAGATGCTTCTTGTTCCTCGGTCCACTCCACATTGTCCCTGTTGACGACAGAACGTGATGGTCCAGTGTGGAAGAAGTGATGTGGTGAAGAACAGAACAGAAACACAAACATTCACAATCTTGAGATACTTCAAGGTTTTAGTGTGATATTCTGACTCAGGATGGGTGATCATATCTTATATATTAATATCTGCAAGAGAGCAAACTAATACAATTATGTTTGTTGGATTAACTGCATGAGATGCAGTTTTCAAACAATATTAAAATATGTTATTAAAATCTCATTACATGACATATGTATTCATATTTTACTCAGAATGTCAAGTTGGTGTTATTCATATAGCCCCAAATCACAAATTTGCCTGGAACGTGTTCACTGTCTGTACAGCATACATATCTTAGACCCTTAATAAGGTTATAGATAATCTGCCACAACAAACAAAACAAAACAAAATCAATAACCCCAAAACCTTTAATGGAAGAAGTGGAGTAATACTGCTAGATACCACAATTTAATCTAAATATGACGCATTTAATTTAAATTATAGTACTATTTAAAAACAAGTTCTATCCTCAGATGATACTAAATAACTTGAGAATATGTTATAAGGCTTTAAATATCATAAACACTGCCCTAGAAAGACCCTTTTTCTGGTAAACCTATCAAATCAACAAACTGTATATCAATCAATCAGTGACATGTTATCGCTACTAATAACAGCGTTTACATTTGCTTATTATTAGCTACAATCCATTAAGCAAAAGACCATCCATCCAACTAATGTAACAGCCATGTGAGTGATGATAATGTCCCAGCCAGGAGACACCGGCTCTGCACACCAACATTCATTATGTCTGCCCTTTTGGGGGTTTCTGGAATAAGTTACCAACCATGCGTTGTGCTGGAAGACCTGCCGCGGGTCTGTGAGGAAACGTGTCCCGAACTGAGGTCTCTTCACATCTCCAGTGGCTGAATCTGACTGAATCAGACCTGTTTCACTGCTGCCTCCCTCCACTCCGACCACGGCGTGGGGCGCCGCCATGTTCGCACTGACGCGACGGAAGGAGGGACGCGCATCTAATTGTGTTGCGTTCACGGCTGTCGGACATATTGCAATTGAGACTAATGATATAAATACATCGATTATGAAGTCCTAAAGTTGTAAGTGATGGATGCAATGCATTTTTGAATATGGAGATGGTGATTATCTAATTGTTTTGGTTCTGATTCTGAATATTTGCTATGTAAAACTGGTCTCTCACGCATAACTCGAGGCATTATAAAGTTATTTTCTCTACAATTTTGTACAGCACTGCTTCATCAATTGCATCTCAAGACCGACTAGTACAGGCTTAGGGTTTAGGCCTACAGACTAGGCCCAAGGCACAGTCAGATGCGATGCTCTACGGAGCACGTGAAGGAGACACGCTTCGTTGTCGCCTGCAACATCATAAAGCTCCACTGAACTCAATGCAAGACTACCATCCTTCTTTGTACACTGTACTATAGGATGCTTTACAATAAAATTATTACACAAAACCAGGCTCGATGTCTAGGCCGACAGGTGTGCTGCAGCATTTGTTCAGTGTTTAAAGTGTTTAAACACTAGAGGGAGACATATGCCAATATTATCTTATATGACCCACATGTTTGAGGAGGATGGCTGGAGTGAAGTTGCAGAGATCAACAGTTAATGAGCTGAGTCTGTATAGACTAACGTTTTTACTAGTCCTAATAAACAAACAAACAAACAAACCGAAAAACAACAGTTTCTCACGTACCTGTGCAGATATGTTAAATATTCAAATCGACATTTAAACAGTTCATTACGCATTTGTAGACTGATTTTTGTTACATACATTTGTCATTATGTTTTATGATTCACAAATGCATGGCTGATTATGAACTGACTGAACCTATTATCTAGTACAGTTTTTTCCTTGCACTCGCTTTGTAGGGTAGTCTACGTCACTTAACCAATGTCTATCTTTAGCCTAGAGGAGGAAATTAACAGATATACTTTTGACATGACTTGAAATGCAGTTTTAAAGGTCACTGTTATATTATCTGAAGTGGAAGGAATGAAGTTTCTTCTGCATGTTCCTGCACACCTCAAACGATAACCATGGCGTGTGCTTCGGTTGAGATTAAGAACAAATATTAGTTGGTCTTGTTGTTGTGATCAGTTTTAAGGCAGAGGGTAGTAAAGATTTGATCTGTTAGCTAGTAGATTAAAAAAAACTTCTCTGGTACTGCAAATATAAAGACTAGAAGAACAATGATGTTCTAGGGTGTTAAGCATGTGGTGACAGAAATATGTTGTAGGATGTGTTGACAGAAATACGTTGTAGGATGTGGTGCCAAACGTCTGTGACCACACTTTTGCATCAGATTAGACACAAGTGCACAGCTATTAACTAATTTAAACTGAATGTAAGACCTTGATTGTTTCTTTAATATAAAAATCCCCAAATATCAACAGTGAAAATGTTAAACTTTTGTTTTAATTGTTTTATGTTATTGTGGGTTTTTCTTCTTCTAATTTTGAGGACAAGAAACAGCTTTTGTGCAGTATTTTGGGACTTTGTGACTTAAGTTTTTCAGTGCATTTGAGAATATATCTCTTTGTGCTTTGTTTAATTATATTTAGTATTTACATTTAGATATTTAGAGTGTTTGTGTAGTAACTTGCTCTTAGAATGAAGCTGGGAGGCAGAATGAAACATTCAGCTTCTCAATGGAATCACACTGGGCATTAATGATATTTATTATGTTTAAAAAAAATGTAAAGCCAACCGTCACACAGTGAAAACAAAGAGTGAAATACATTATTCTATTTCAGAAATTGTAACATTTCTACAGATCTGAAATATGAATCTCAAATAACTTGTCATTCATGTTTTTTCAAGTCAGGTATAATGTATATGTATGTAATTCCTCTGTGAACTATGAGAGAGGAACCCCAGGTTTATTTAGAAACTGCAAAACAACAAACCAGATATCTATGCAATGAGCAGGCCATGTCCTGAGGGACAATCAGCGCTGTACAACCAAAAAACACTTCACATTGCACTCTTTTCTTCCATATAGTGGTTAAAAATGAGCAAGAGGAGGCCTATGATTCGATGTGCAATACAATCTGCTCATATGCACAAATGAGGAATATTGCATTTCAGTGTAACACAGTCCGGGTCAGTGGAAAATTGAAATATATCACACAATTGGCAAGATAGAACACAATTTGTTCATACAATCTTACAAATAAAATGAACAGTAAAAAAGCCCAGCAAACACAAAAACAGGTGATGATGCAGTGAGAAAGAAACATGTGAAAGCATGTTTAGAGTTACCATTGCTTACATGCATTTTGAAAACAATATAGACCATGAACATCACTGTAAACTGTTACGTACGTACATTTTTTTACTCCTTTTTACAGTTAACTGTAACCACACAGAGTGCTGCATTCATGTCAAAATCATTACAACAAACACGTTTATATTATCAAAAGGGAATTGGTCATGTTTTAATAATTAATTAAAATACACATTGACATTGACATTTTGCTGTTAGAAACTGCTCTTTTCATTTTAGTAAAAAATAAACTTTAAAATAGGCTGCAGCTGCACAAGAGCAAATGACTTTGATGAATATAACCCTATTTTCTAAAAACAAGGCTTTAGATAATACATCAAGCACGGTGGACACTAAAGAGGAACTACAAATGTCCATTCATTCATGCTCATTTCCATACCGACCTATTAGTATTAGGTCATGGTGAATTTCTATTTCTATTTTAAAATGTGAACAAAACTAAACTTATACACCAAACACCGTAATGATAGACGAGCCTACTAAAAAGAACAAAAAAGTGACAGATTTTCAGCAGCAGTTTCCCTTACTGTAAATTGATAGTTATATACAGTATGTGCAATTATTACATCATGTTGTTGACAGCGATAACTACTTTTCAGCTACAGTAGTCGGTCATATGACAGTGTAAAGGATCTTTCTCATCCATTTCTGTGCTACTACATTCCATCTCTGTCGCTGACCCCTGAGTTTTTCTCACTGGATTTAGTTGTTAGTTGCCTCGGTACGTTACATTGGTGAAGGTGGACGTGGCTCCTTTATACAAAGGATTGTTAGCCTGGGAAATGAAAACAGAGGTAATGCTGTTTAATTAAGTCTCACAGTGATATCCAGTTTTTTCATTCACTGAGAATAGACTTAACAGTGAAGTAGGAGACATCTTATGCCTAGCAGGAAAACCTTTTGAGGATTATAACGTAGAAATTATACTTTTTAGTAGAAAAAAAAACTATATCAGATAAACATTATTTTTCCAAACAGACTATTTGTATATATGTCTTAACAAGTTCCTGGAGAGGATCTTTAATTATAATTTTTTCTCACCGTATCCCATTTGGCTTTGGCTCTCTCCTCCTCAAACTTGGCAAACTCTCTGCGGTCGTGAATGGTGACCAGCAGCTTCCAGATGAGCAGGCCAACAAGGCCCAATAGCAAGATTGCTCCGGCCACTGCCAAGAGCACCACTAAGACGTCTGCACCCTCAGGACACTCTGAGAGATGAAAGACGGGGGGGGGGTCAGTATAGCACACTCATGAAGTTAACAACCACTGTTGGGTGGTCAACCGACTGACAAAAGGCTGACCAAATAATGTACCTAAATTATTAACTCTGTTTTTTTGGCAGTTTAAATACTCAAACATACACACACACTCTTACAGTACCTGGCTCTTTTACCACAAACAGAATGGATTTGCCACTTTCATCTTCGTAATACTGGAAGTGCTCCACACAGTCATTCACATCTTTGTATGAGCAATTCACTGCATTTTTAGCATGGAAACCTGTGGATTAAAGATGATAAGAAGAAAAAGAAACAGGGTAATGAATAAATGATTTCAAGAGATAATATGTTATCTCTTGAAATTTGTTTATCAGACATTTCATATAATTTATCTAAAATATTTATCAGTGCATAATATTTTTGGATCACAATGCATGCATTAAGGCTCCAACCACTTTCAAGAACATTTTGCTCCTTTGATCAGCAGCAGGAAAACAACAGTATTACCACAACAGATTATGATCACAGTACGTAGGTTCAAAAATGGAGTTCTCACCCAGTTCATCCACTACTTTAATTTCATCTTTGCAGATTCTGCTGCAGCTATTGTCTTCTGTGTACTGTCCTCTCTTGAAGTGCTGACACTCAACACAATGCCTGCAAACAGAGTTCCATATTAATGGCTCAATCTGATATGTAAGGGGTGGATAAACTAAAAAAAAACACCCAAGTGTATGGCTACATAAAGATGAACCTGCGAAGTGTTGATAACGGCTAACTGGTGTGGCTTTGAGAGAAGTTCGACCTTTCTCACCTGAGTTTATTTAAATGTGTGTGGGAGCAGCTTGTTATCTTCCTGGAATGTGGGAATATTATGGTGTAATGTTTGCCCTGAAGAATGCAACCGGCCAGTTTAGTTAGTCTCAAATTCTTTGCTGAAGCCATAAAGGGTGGCTTATTTCTAATGATTTCTTGACCCTTTGCCCTTTGCCACCCACTTTGCTCCAATCAAAATACTTCCTCGACCAACACTTTGATCCATGACAAGGTACAGTATTTTTTAAACCAGTGTTTGAATTCCAATAAATGTATCCATGGATATCCATTGTTCCCAAAGTTCATGGACATGAAATGTTCTTTGTGCGTTCTTGGTCCCCAGAATATAAACACTCAGGCCAAAATGTTAACTTTGGGTATCAGATGGGTATAAACTAATTTCATGGTAGACTGTGTGAAATATACTGAGGTAACACTAAGTTAGGAACTTACTGTTTTATAGTGCAGGAATCGGGACAGGTGGGGCATTTCTCACAGGTTGCACCGTAGGCACCAGGTTGTGTGCATTGACAAACCCCACACTCGCAGTTACCACGGCCGGTGCACAGCAGGCCGATGCTGGATGTGCAGGTGTCTTTGCGTGTGGTGCAGTTACAGTTTTCTCCTTCCCAGCCAGCATCACACTGGCAGAATCCACAGTTACACTTCCCATGAGCTGAAAAAATCAAAAAGGATGTCCTGTTAATTTAATGAATTAATTCAAATTCAAATTTTTCACAGTCCATAATTACATGGGTGGGGCTGGGCAAACAAAACTACGAAATACAAATTACACAATTGCAAAACCTGTGTATTTTTTTAAGCATGCTTGGGCATGCTCATTACTAATATCTCTAAACCATTCATACTATGACAAAGGCAGGAAATGTTCTATTAGGACAGTAGACACTAACAATTTTCCATTTCCTAACAGGTAGACACACAAACACCTCCCATCTTCCAGAGTCTACTGAAGTGTAGAAAGCACAAAAGCCAGGTCATTCTAGGAACAGTGTTACAGTGATGTAACTATTTGTTGACAGAATCTGCAGGCGAGCTTTTCTCCCCACATCAGCACAATAAGCTACCTCAGAAATAAAGGCAGAGCCCCAGAGACTACAGCGTTCTTAGCAGGAAAGCAAACAGGATTTGGCACTGGATGACTAAGAGCAAAGTGAGTGAGTCACAGCCCAGCTGGGTCAGACCAGTGGGAGTGACTGGTCATGAAATATCACAGAGGGTCCAAGGGTCCCTAATTCCAGAGCTCAAAACAAATCATCCGCTGTTGTAAACTTGAGGAAACAATTCCCAGTCTCCATCCTGTCAACTACGGCTTCACTTTCAGACAGTGTTAGCTGTGATGGGCACAACAGACTATATAACAATAACAGACATTGTCACTGGTGCTGACACTGGTTAATGCTTAGCAACTCTTTCTTACTCTGTCAACAAGATCACAAAAAACATTGTCAACCAGAATTATTGTAGAACTACATTGTCATTGTAACAATTGATTTTTTTTGCAGCGTAGTGCACTTATACTTGACGAGAGTGAGTCGTTGTCTTGTTCTTATTAGTTGTAAAGTTGATTCACACACATAAAAGGAGTTTGTTAGGTTTACATCATCCAGCTCTGTCCGTGAGACTGCACAGTAATCCTTCCCATAAACCATTAATCACATGTCTGGGCTTTAGAGAAGGTTAACATGGCCTCCATGATAAAAGGACAAAAACAGGGAAAAAAGACAGAACGGTAAACTAAAACACTATGCTTTTAGAAGAAGAGAGGGAACAGAGCAGAGACATACTTGAGAGGAAAGACACTGGGCAAATTGCCAGCAGAGGAATGCAAACTTTCCTGTTCTCTCTTCTCTTATATTTATGGGCCCTGGGGCTATGCTTGCTGACTCCTGCTCTCCGGCCCTGCACCAGTCCCATAGCCCCTTAGCAGAGGAAGAAATACACAGGGAATAACACAGAGATGGAGCTTTTTAGAGCCCTGGGTCACAGTAGCTCCAATTGAGCTGGGGCCGAGGGACGCTCATTCTTTAAAGACAATAACGTCATGACTCTATGGAGACAAAGCAACTTAGCAGTCCCAAATTGAGCTCTGTAGACTGTCTTACACCATTTATGGCTTTGTGTGTCGGTGGGTGGGTTGGGTGACTGTCTGCGCCCAAGCCCTGGGTGTCATCACTGAGTGCCTTAATACCTGTTTCTCAGAAAAGTAACCTCCCTTGAGAAAGACTACAAACTCCGCCTTGTTGGTATAAATATTCTATTATATCTTCCAAGAAAATGTCAGCTTGCCAACACACAAGACCCTCTTCTATTTAGGTCATGGGGCACCCACAGGGGGCCCAGAATATATTTGTTTAGTTGCAATGCAATTCTTGTAATCAGACCGTCCCTGTTTGATATATGTACATGTTTTTCAAACTCCACAAGCCTAGTTGATAATACAAGATTTCAGTCTCCAGGAGAGTCCAAGAGTCCAAGAGGACACACCCTAAACGACATCACTTTGGTTACTTTCTTGGACTTGGCAAAGCTTCGCCAGAAAACATGCTATGTTCACAGGCTGAAGAGTACCCTAAACTGGGGTAGTTCCCTTTTAAAAAGGAATGACATGTTCTCGCTTATTTCCATTTGCATCAGAGACAGCATTCATAGTTAAAAATGTCTCTGCTTAATGTACATAAAAGAAAAAAGAACAGTTTCCTACTGTGCTACTGCTCAGCCACCCTCCTTAAAGTAACAGGCCCACACTGCTGTTACATGAAATTACCCAATGACAAAGCCTATTAAAGTTTTATCACTGTGATTGAGTAACTGGGCACTGAGCTGTGCAGACTTGTAATAGGGAGAGATAGCGCATCACGACGCACTGTTGTGCGTGGTAAAAACAACAGTCAAACTCAGTATACCCACCAAGTTTACAGGCCTGACGGAGGACTGATACATTTGTAAGCATTACTGTGTTTAGCAGCTAAATTATACAATTATTTACATGTCCTTTACAAGCAAGCGAAGACTGTCATAATAAATGCACACTGGTTTTGAAAAGGCTGTGGATTCTTGATTTGTCAAGCTAAGTATCAGAACACTATGTAAACTGACTAACTTGTGTTTACAGACCGAGAGTGACTGGAAACAACCAGTGTATGTTTCAGTAAAGTCAGATGAGGATTCAGAGCAAGGAAAAGGAAGGGAACTTCCTTTTTCCCGCTAACATGTAAAGGAAGGGGAATTACAAAAAAAAATTACAAAAAAGAAACCCAGAAGAAATGCAGGCATGCAAATACAGATTTTATCTGCCCAGGTTTTGAAATTTCTGCCACCACCTGATTCAGTTCAGACAAATGGTGTTTAGTTTGTGCTGCACACAGTAATAAACAATTACAACCCTGCCATGACAACATTCTCACAATACTATGTGCATGACTAGATACTACAGAGGTAAATTAATAAATATTTATTCGAAATTTGGGTGAATTGACCCTTTAACACCAATGTTTATGATCTAATTAATTCAAAGAGTGTGTGATCGTTTGACCCTGAGGAAGATTGGTGTGTTGTGGAATTCATTCCTGTTTTTTATTTTTTTGTTGGCAAAACAGTAGAAAGAACTAAAACTGATCATGACATAAGAAGTGCATCTACTCACCGGAACACAGTGCCCCTTTGAAACGCAAGCAGTTGAAGTCGTCACATTCGCAGTATTTGCCCCACACCTGACCAAACTCATTTGCATGGCAGGAGCACTGTCCGCACAAACAGTCGCCTCTCCTGCTGCAGATTTGGCCCCCTGTCTGCGAGATGCAGTTGACATCATCAGATGGACTGTAGTCCTCCACTGAACACTCACATCGTGGGCCAAGACGACCCTGGTGACACTGACACACACCACACTCGTAGGTCCCATTGCCCTTGCTACAGAGGGAGCTGTTGGCCTCAGCTTTTGCCTCACAGTTGCAGCCACAGGCAAAATCCACCGTGACCTCCAGTGAATCCTTGAAGCCTCGAGGTTTGATGGTAAAAGTGCGGTGTTTCTCTTTGGGGCAGCCACGCAACTGAGCCTCCACGCTGAATGACACCTGAAGAGGACGAAATGTCTTTGTGACAATCTGTGTGTTTAGATACCAGATGTGGATGTCAGCATCTCAACTAATACGTACTGTGTCTCCGATCTTGAGGCCAGAGCAAGACTTAAGTCCAGGGGTGACCTCTCCTTTTAGGCAGGTGGCATTGAAGGAGAGATTCAACTCTTCTGGGACTCCCAGTAGCTCCAGCTCCACTTTAGAGCGAATTTTCTGCTCAACATAAAGTTATTTATCAGAGATTTTTTTTATAGATGAAATAGATTACATCAATGTATATGTTCCACTTATTGTCCTAAGGTTAGGAAATCCTTACCGCATAAGCCTCCTCAATGAGCTGAATAACATTCCCAGAATCATCGGACAGCATTCCTACAGTTGTGCCTGGAATGAGCTGACTGTAATTCTAGAAAGACAGACATGACAGCAAGAAAGCTGTTTTTGTTTTCTTATATCAGTAACTATTCGTGCTGTGGCACAAGCAGTGCAGTCTGTTTACCTTGTAGAGCGGCACCACATAGCTGGTGACGGCAAAAATTAAATTTATGTTGTTTTCGGACATTTTTTCTGTCATGAGCGCCAAGGAGGGATAATCCTGGAAGACACATTAAGCAAATAGCTACAGCAGGTTCTGTTCAACATCTCCAAAAACTATAAGTGAATTACTGATGTACTTAGATTTCTTCCTTTACCAGCACAGTAGCTTTGTTGTAAGTGTTTTCATTATCAAGGTGACATTGTCCATCATTGGGCTGGACAATTCCAGCTATACGTCCATCCAGAGCGATGTGAGATTTGGCATCAGTGGTGAATACCAAAAGGTGGGAGGCATCCGCACGCCAGCCAATCTTCTCCTAATGATGGATGAACACAGTAATAAATATGACAAGTAATACATATATATGTGCACACCGCTCATATAACCGCATATATCGGTGAGCATGTGTATACCTTCATACCTTGCAAACCACAGCCTGCATGACAGCATCAAATCCACCCTCTGGAGCATCTCTATTTCTAGACACCTTCTGTTTCTCCACCTCCTCAGTGAAACGAGCTACCTTCTCCGTCAGTGACAGCACATTCTTGAACCCGAACTGAGCCTGGCATTGATCTCCAATTCTGTGTATATTGAATATGTGAATGTGTGTGAAGGAGAAAATGAAGTTGTTAAACACAACAGGACAGACCTTAGAATATTAGAAAATCTCCACCTCAACTAACCAACACAACACTTATCGCTGCACCTACCCATAGCATGGGTTTTCCACTGCCTCTGGAGGATAGGTATACATATAAGGGGACGTGGTCTTGTCCACAAAGGCGCCAAACCCCATGCGTAGGTTGCTTGTGGTGCGGCCCATGGTCACAGCAAGCTCATTGCCCAAGGTGCGAAGGCGAACCAAGTCATCCTTCATTGAATAGGAAAGATCCATGAGATAGTAAAGGTCCACTGGGTAATCCTCCACCTGTTTCACTGATACAGTGAACCGCTTAGCATCACCTGGGAGGGAAAGAGCGGAGGAATGCATAGATGGAGAGCGCATGGTAGAGTAAATTAGATCAATTGGTGTCCCTAAGTCTTGGTTATCTTTCAAGTAGTGCTGGGTGATATAACCAATTAACTGCTAAGTACAAAAAATATTACATATACTCTGTTAAAGATGTGCAACCAGTTCTTGGGTACCAATGCATGTATCTGGCCTTGAAGGGTTTTTAGGGTACATTGTTATAGGTGATGTCTGGTGGGTGTGAAAGTACCTGGTCTTAGTACTATATGGAGTTTCTGAGGCTTTATTTGAGTGACATCGTCTGCAGTCCCAGAGGCCTTGTCACTGAGCGGTGTGTCCTCCTGAATAGTCAGGGTACTGGAGGGAAACTCCAAAGCCGAATTACTGCACCCTACATTTAGCAGATTCTCCTTCAGGTCACAGCGGGACGCACCGGAGCCCCCCTTTCCAAACTCCTAAAACAACCACATGCAATCTGTTAGCAAGTGACGAGTTACTGAATTACCATTATGACTACATAAAAAAAAAAAAAAAAAAAACTTTGTTTGATTAGTACATTAGGCCAACGCCCATTTTCCTCTTATTCTAAATCTGTTCAGGGGGCTACAATGTATAAGCATGTTGAAGAACAATAAGAGGATAACAATATGAAGAATGCTGTTGAGAAATTAGGTCTGTGTTGTAACTTGCTGCACTTGAGTAATGAATGGGAGGAGCAACTAGACACTGTGTGTTTGTGGCTATCTGTTGGTGTTTTTACCTCCTGAGAGCACCATGCGCAGCTAGGGTGAACTGCCAAGCACTGTTGACAAGTAGTGACTCCTCTTGATGTGCAGATGTTGGAACCTGTAAGAATCACACCAACAGAAATGTAACTAAACATATATTTCTTTACTGAGGGAGTGACCTAACACTGCAGACCAAAAATAAATGAATCAGCTCTGGTCAACTACAAACACAGATATGAGTCAGTCTTTGTCACTAACGCTAATACTTGTTATGCTTTCTGAGAGTCATTTGCCCATGTTAGGAAATTGCAAAAGATGTTTCAATTCTATGTAAATACACAAATATATTAATTCCAAACCTTTTTCTATTTGTTATCTAGCAATACCTATGGGTGTGGCTCACCAGTTATACACAGAAGCTCAGCCAGCACCTTACACTTTTTAAAAGTGTTAAAGTGAAGTAATAAATAGCAATCTGAAACCATATATATGAAGAAACAGATTTAATTTGACTCTTGAATAACTACCTGAATAGATATCCAGTCCCAAATTTAAAGGCCAGGGGCCATGAACTATACACACAGAACTGAATATAAGAATCATGTTGAAGCAGTAGAGGAAATGGTGTTTCCTGAGCTATTGTAAGTAATTCTGTTGGCGTAGACTTTGTAGAAAGGTCTGTCAGTTCTGTTGGTGTAGACTTTGTAGAAAAAGGTCTGCCATAGGGTTGTGTTTATTTATTTAGTTAATTAGAGTTAATTGAGGAAAAGTAAAACCACAAGCACACAAACTTAGGCTGTGTACAGAATTTGTGATAATCAAACTATCCTTGATTTTGGAGGACCCCTGGTCATCTCGTTTCATGGGATACACATCCTGACTATTTTCACTCCCTTATAAGGAAAGGTGGTGGAAGCTCCAACGGAGCAGCACTGTAACAAGCAACAGTATCGCTCCATTCAAGTCCGTTAACAGCGAATTATTCCGTGTTCCGTTTGAGAACATAAGGCTATATTCAATAATTGTGACCACCTGTACATTTACTGTGAGTATTACCCGTTTGTGGTACCTTCAAAGGTGCCCGTACAAAGTCTTGGGGAAACACCCACAGGTCGCCAGGTGAAACTTAAACTTAAAAGTAGCCCAAGGAATAAAAGTCATCTTACCGAAAACGTTTGATGCCGATGACAAAAAGAGAAACAGTATCACCAGACCGTTTAAAAAAGTTCCCATGGCTGGAGAGTAACGGAGTCGACTTGACATGAGTCGTCTGAGTTCCCTTTGGACCTCTTCACTCCGACCCTTGAGCGCCTTTCCTCATTCTTGACTTGACTAAACGCGTGCTGGGCCATATAGCCTACAGCCCTGCCTCACACAGCAAACCCTTCATCCAGTTAATTGTGTAATATATCGCAGAGGAGATTGTAGGTTCTAGCAGGTTGACACTCGTTTCGGTTTGATATCATTTAATGAGTTTAGGGAAATACCCTCAATGCACAAACTGAGTAACTGGCAGCACATGTTTAAGTTTCTCTGTAACTTAACATGAGAATCACATCAGACCAGGCGGAAAAAACACGAAAAAATATTGTGAACAAATCACTCTTATTCTCGACACAAGCCAGCCCTGTGTTTGACTAATAACACTGTATTGTTTTACAAGAAATTACTGTTTTTGAATCATGTCACATTAAAAATAGACTATTTGTACTATGTAAATAAATAAATAAATAATTCAGGAATTGTTTTCTTTATCTCCTGCACTGTCACTAAACCACTTGCAGCATTCATAAATCCTCACATTTTTCCTTTTCCACTGGGAGTTGCACTGTGGGAAAATACTGTGGCCATCAACACTAATGGGCATTAATGTAAATTATTTTGTCATTTATAAGCCTAATAAAAACTCAATATGGTCTGAATTAGCACGAGAAAGGATCTGTAGTGGTAGAATATTTGAATTTGATCCAATGTGGCTGTACTGGAGATAAGCAGCATTTTGGACTCCTGCACACTGTGCAGAGGTATATTGAGTGTACAGATTTGTTCCTTTGCATGTACTTCATATTACACATACATTTGATTTTAAATGACTACCATAGTGCTCCTCTCACTATACACAGACATTATTTAATCAAGAATTAAAAAAAAAACAGTTTAAAGTGACTAACATCCTGTTAAAAATAAAAGGTTTTCCATGTTGACCTGCCTACTCCTGGACTGAAAGGAATCCAACATATAACAGCTAATAACCTGCACAAAATGTGTAATAATCCCGAATATCCATTCAGAGCTCCAGACTCAAAAAGAATCAATCACGTCTGACTTGAAGTAGCCAACAACAACTTGTGGAGTTGTGGTAGAAGGACCCCTAGTGGGAAAATATGATATACAAGTATATACATAGTAATAGAGTTCATGCAGGTTTGTGATAAGCAGTCATTTCTTGATTCAGGGTCTAAAAGGACTGACTTTGCCACAAGCTATTGCTGTGTAATTCTCTAGAAACAGTCTAGCCGAGCTCTTCCTCTTTAAATTTATGAAACTGATAAGTGCCTGCCACAGAAAAACCACTTCTCATTCCACTGAATGATGGCGCATGGTGAAATTTGCCAGCTAGCAAGAAAAAAAGAAATAAAAAGAAAATGAGGCAGAAAATGGGATAAAAGCTAAGATTGCCTTACAGAAATGAACTTTGGGAAGAAAGTGGTGGTGGTGTGTGTGTGTGTGTGTGGTGCCGCTTGTAGAAGCAGACAATGCTTCTTATCTCTGCACTTGTCCATTTATTGAATCTTTATCCCTGTGCCCTGCTCTTATTCTACGGCTGGTTGCTAAGTTACTGCCACCCGTGTCCAAGAATTGCCGCTAGAAGAAATGACAGAAATAGAGAAATAAGTAGAAAAGCTCATAATAGTCAACTGTTCTGCTGGCATTAAGCTCTCAGTGTGGGTGGATGGTGCAGGTAATACACTGTGGGCAATCAAACCCCATCTCCAATATTGTCTGATTTGGATCTATTGGCGCCAATGCCTTCTGTGACGACCACCCCCACAGATGAATGGTATTTTGGGAAGAGCACAGCACCAGTTGTCCTTAGTAAAAAGCCAGCCACTGGGTCAGATGGCAGCCAATTAAGACTGAACAAGAAGAAAGGAGGGGGGCTAGAGGAGGAAAGGGGGATGGAAGGGTCCCGACCTGTGTTACAGATCTATCTAGAGCCCTTTAAGCTTTTCACTGAGTCTGAGAACGCCATCACAGAGAGCCAATATCAAAAACGCAATCGCTCTCAGACAAAATCAGTGTTTGGTTAACTACAACCGGCTTACCCTTTCCTGCTTTGCTGGGTTAACTGGTGAGTGGGAGGGTCAAGTGGGGGGATATGAGTTTTTCTCAGGTGAAGGGTTGGCAGGCTTATGAAATGTGCCCCAGACTCGCTGACGAGGGACAATGTGTATTTGTGTTGTGATGCTTTGCTATCTGATCTGCCTCAGCCTTCTCTTGCTGCCCCCCCGCCCCCCCATCTGCAGCTACATTTCTCTCTCAGGGGATGACAGCATATGTGGAGAAAGCTAAAATAAATAGATAAATAAACATACAACTGAGGACATATGTGGGAAGGAGAAATGGAAAGAATGCAAGAGGGCATTTCCGTTCTTGTGTTTTTGTATCCAGACTTGTAAAATATAAGAGATGGAAAGAAAGAAGTTGACGGAACAAAGAAGACAAAACTAGCTGAATGTGGCACATAAAGGGGCAGAAAAGACAGACAGATCATGGTAGGCTGCATTACTGAGGTGTGGAGATGTATCTAAATGGAAATGAGGTTAATGGGTGGCGGCTGGTGGAGTGCATGACATATCTGCACTAGAGATACCGAGCAGGGATTTCTTCAATTAGATTCATGAAATCTGTAATCTGTTTTCTCAAACAAACAGATTTTCACCAGCCATTCCAACGGACAAGCTGCAGTAGGCACACTAGGAACATACACACTCAGAGGGTCTAATATCCCCCTGCAAATCAAAGCAATGAAGTCATTATCTTCTTAAAATAACTTTAATGACTGATGGTTGCTTAGTGTGGGGTTGATGTGGGGCACCACTCTGCTGTGGCACTGTGTCCCTGCAATCTGTATCAGTGTGTAATTAATGACTGTATTTACCTCTGCGTGATTAAGAGTCCCAAAGGTGGCCAACCCCGTAAGATCAAAATGTGGCCCATCTCTCTCCCTGTTTGCATGTCCACAAGTGCATGAAGTGTGCATTTCAGCCGGTGTGTGTGTGTGTGTAAGAATAAAAAAAAGAGTGAAAAAAAGAATTTCCCCAATAGGGGATCAATAAAGTATATATCTTTTATCTTCTTCTTCTATCCATATTTAATATCCAAAATCTAATTTTTTAATACATACGTTTTACTCACCTTGGGGTTTCCTGCCATTTAATTGCACACACTCAATCTCCAGCACACACAGGGAGCACAGCGGCTTCCTCACAGCCCTGTGTGTGCTTTGATCAGCTAATAAAGGGGCATCGTAGGAGAAATCTGTTAATTGAAAAGAGGAAAGTCTGCTCCCTCTGGGGCGGAGGGCCTTGAGAGGGTGTGTCCATTTTGGATCCTGAGTCATTTCAGGCCCTGTGGCAGCGCCACGCACAGAAATGATGTAGGGGTAAGGAGGAGAGGGGAGGTGGGTGGGGTCAAACACTACATCCTTGTTGCTAGGGATGTCTTCACTTAGTTTGTGTTGCTAGGCTGCCAATTCCCTCATGTTAAGTGGAAACGTTTCCCCCCCTCTCCTCCGTCCAGGCACCTCATCGCTCCCTCCCTCTCCTTCTCCTCTAAACCAAAATAACTTCACCAACCATCTGTCACTGGGCTCACAGGTCTACTGTTGCTTAGGAACAAGTCAGACACTCACATTCATGTCTATACGCATCCTCATATGAATATATCTTCATATATAGTTATACTAACAATAACCACTAGCTAGAAACATATCTGCCTGTGACCAGTACATCAATGAAACGTGCAGCATTCATTGCAAATCCTCAGTCTGATCCTCCAAAGAGTTTCAGGTTCTTCTGTTGATGAAGCTTTTAGAGGGCAACACTTCTTGAAAGATATTGACATATGTGACATAACACATTAAAAAATAAAAACGTTAATTACTTCAAAAGACCAACATGTTCATTGAAGTGTGCTCCTCCTTGACTTTGCAAAAACTTTCTTCTCATTTGTAAATTCTTTGAAGTTTTGCTGTATAGAGCCTCAAAGAGGAACTGTTAGGTGTAATGTAGCTGTAGCGGAGGATTTACATATTGACAGAGAGATGAAGTGTAAGTACAAGCTACTTTCCATAATCACACTGCAATGAATAATAGAACAGAATCAAATTGCGCAACATTGATTTACATGCTGCCAATTAATTTGCTGCAACCAAATCCAACGTCTAATGAGATTATTTGATCTTATTGTACACGAAAAATACTCCTTGTTCTTCTGTTATCAGCCATTAATAAATGATCTGAAAGTAAACCACCTCCAGGATTATGAAAGGTATTTGTGGATGGAGCTAATCATTGTTTGTACACATGCTTGTCAGTTGGTGGCTGAAAGCTGCTTACCCAGACATCAGGAGCATCCCAAATCGAATTTCATGGCCTTTGTTTTTAGACAAACAGCGGATTAATTTGACAGGCTCAGCAGACAAGTCTCAGGGAGTCCTTTCAAAATGTTTGAGGCATTTTTTTATTAACCTGTTGAAGTTCCTCACTGCAACTGTTCAATTTCACATCAATAGTGAAGTGAGTTATAATGATAAAATAGGCTACGACTATCTCTCTGCTGTATTTAAATATCATTTGAGTGTTTATATACAGTATCACTATATTATATTAGCAGTTTGGTGGAGTTACAGCAGCTCTAATCCTTTGTAATGTAATAATATTAAATTGGTACCAAGACAGCCAAGATACTTTAATAGTTTCTAATCTGGTTATAGTACCTCATTTCAGTGATTTTAAGGTTTCTTCCTCCTCACAGCAGTTACATTTCCATAAAAGCCTGCACACTTTTTTTTTATAAATTAAAAATTTTGTAGCACAGACTACAAGGAAATCATATCTGTCAGATTATTTTCCTGCAGCACAAATTGGCCTCTTTGGGTAACTTTCAAACCTAATGGGCATGTATCCATCCATCAAGTAATAATCTGTGTTGATGTTCTGTACATATCTACTTATAGTCACTGGAAAAAGGGAGAATCTTGCGAACTTGACAGTTTCGTGTATAGATGGAAATCATCTTAAATATTCATAAGTAATCTAATAATAAAATCACTCAAGTTATTTTAAAGTGCAGGTAGGATGACATTAGGATTAATTAACTGCTGACCTAGATTCATCCAAAAATCATTGCTATTTATTTAAGTCTTTTAATTTATGGGGTAGAGAGATAATATTGGCTAATGTAATGTTAATGTTGAATTAATAACAAAACACAGGGTAATTCAAAGGGGAATACCACATTATGGCACCCTACGTATTAACATATTTATTTCCACAAAAAATTGCAGCCTGTCAATACAGTATTGATCTCATAAATGAAACCTCACATTATGGATGCAGAAAGAGATAAGTGATAAGAAAGAATAACATTAGCTCTATATAGATTGGTATTGAGAATACCCATCATTGTAATACGAATCAATATTGATTTGAAACTTCAATTTCCACTTAATTTATCAAATGGTAAATCTGCATTCAACTATGCTTGCTCTGGGTTCATATTTCTTTACAGATCAGGTTGCAGGGGTATCACCTCCACCTTAGTAAGCTGGTGTCCCAGGCAGCTGCAGTAGTTATACATAACACTTGAAAGACAAAGTGATATTTGAATAAGACATTCCAATAAAAACAAAGAGCTGTCTGCTGTTCAGTGGTTTCATTTCAGCTCCTGCCTAGGAAATAAAACAGCGGCACAGCGAAAGCAGGGGAGCCAATATTTCTGATAAATATTTGCCATGGTTCTATCATAGCTTATTATTTCTGTTATAGCTTGCTGTGCCTTTATTGGTGTCTCTCTTGAGGCCGAGTAACAGTGACAGCTTCCTCAGGAACAGGCATTAAACTCTATAAAAACCACCCAAAGTAGCAGAGGATGATCTGCAACCCATTCTTATTATAATTTAAGTTAATGTTGTCAGGTTTCAAATTTTCAATTCATAAGAAGTCTTCAAAGTTAATGTATGTCTGAATCAATATTGGTGAGGCTTTCTGGTGTTATTGATGTGGATAAATTAGTGCTACGTTGGTTTCAGAAGAACATACTTCAAAATATTTATGAGTTTATGAGTTTATGAGTCATTTAGTCTTACTTTCTTGACAACTAATTGTCTTGAATTGAGAGACTAATGGGAATTACCACCTGTTTGAAATACATTCACTTGTTGAATTATTATTTTATCAAACATGTTGCCTTCTAACTCAAGATAAAATAAAAAACAGAAATCTGGGAGTGAGTAAAATGTGCATCTAATGTTAAACTATTGCCACAGATCTCTCTTTACTTCAGTGGCAGAGGAAAACTGTAAGATAAAAGTAATAAATACTAGACTGAATGCCAAATTAAGACTCAAATGGAATTTTTACATTTTATTTATTTATTTAGTCTTTTGTACATCAGAGGAGCAGCGCATTATCTGAGGCCATCTGACTACCTCCCCTGGTGAGGAGTGGTGGTGTGGTCCACGGGGAACTCATCATCACTTTAAAACGCACCAGAGACTTGGCACAAAAGAAGCGCTCGCAGGCGAGCACAGGCGCAAAGGGACTATCTCTTATTACACCGAAGGGGAAACACGTTTTGCACCTTGCGCACTTTCTAAGAAGACTCACCAAAAAAAGTCAGAAAAAAACGTGGACTTTGAGTTGAAGAAACTTACTTTTGGCTGCACCTGATGCGACGCTGTTTGACTGCAGCAACAGTCGGGTGATGTGGATGTGGCTATTACGCACAAACTCGATTGCCTGTAGATCTGGACTTTAAAAAGCATATTGTTGTTTTATATTCTTTCTCTTATTTTTGTCTGAACAGTCACATGACGCAAACTGTTGCTTGGAGTCCAGATTTTGTAGTGAGACTGTGTGCCAGCCAAGTGGAGTCGCGTGCTTATTTGCTGATAACCCGCAAAGAAACATGAACGTCTCCTTCTTCGACGTGACCCAGGGCGCGCTGTTTAATGGGAGTCAGACCCTCGCTGGGACTCTGGCGACATACTCCGGCAATGGCACCCACAACGTGGTGACCGGCGACGGCGGAGGGTCCCTGGTAGTGCAAGACGAGCGCAAACTCTTCGTCATGCGTGTGGTGCAAATAGCTGTCCTGTGCGTGTTGTCTCTCACTGTCGTGTTCGGCATATTTTTCCTTGGGTGCAACTTGATGATCAAATCGGAGAGCATGATTAACTTCCTGGTGAAGGACCGGAGACCCTCCAAAGACGTGGAGACGGTCATGATCGGGCTCAGCTAGAGCATGGAGAACAGGTACTGTGGAAAACTGGAGCGAAGATCCGGTATGCGGATCTGGTACCAATCTCCTACCGCAGGTCAAGATCGGCATCTGCATGTACTTCTCAAAGACGCTCTCTCTGTGTCCTAGTGAGGAAAGATATGCAAAAACTTCACATTTCCTTCCGAAAAACGACTACAGGAAAGTAGTCCAGCGACAAATGTGTGTGCGTAAAGTTTGTGCGTAAAACACGGGCAATTGTTTACACGTGGGCCGATCTGTTGAATCCTTTGAGTGAATTTGATGTTGCCAACTTGAACAAAGTAACGGAAATGTTTACAAGCTGTTACCTCATTTTTGGTTTAGTTATTTTTTTTGTAAATTTGAAATGATTGTTAGTGAATGTTTTTAAAACTGTCAAAAAGCATGATTGTGAATTCTTATAGTTCCACCTCTGCCAGTGTACTATGTGGACGTGGTGGATATGTGGATATTCTCTATACAAAGTATTTTTCTTGGTCTCGTTTGGTAAATACTCTCTAAATACTGAAATCTTGCACGTTTTTCAACGAACTCAGCTTTATGAAGTGATTCTGGTCCTGTATGGCATGCTCGCTAATTGATCTGTAAAGTGGTTTTTGGACCCGTTTTGCACTTTTGAAATCACTGATGCTGCATGAATTATTTTGTACCAAAAAAAAAAAAAAACGAAAAAACACTTGAAATTGCAGCATGCAATTAAAACACTGGAATGACCATATTAAACTTGTCATCTGTTAACATTATACATTTTATTTCAACATTGCTGTCTAATTAAACCGTTTTTGGTTGATTGGGTTTCAGAAAATTATGTTGTAGAGATATTTTTTTCATCCAATATTGTGTTAAGGTTTTTGAAATCAGGCGTGAATGATCATTATATCTAAAGAAACATGCACTTTTACTTTTTAATTTTAAAATCAGATTAAATCAGACTTCTGAAATGTTCTTTGATCCACATCTAATCAGATGTGATCTTTACTTATGCACAAGACGAAAGCATTAAGTGAATACATTAACAAAGTAGGTGCACTTTTAAATTGAGTAGAATATGTTTTTTAATTAAAGTACACAGAAAATCATATTTTACATACAGCAGTTCTAGCTTAAAATTAAGATAACATGCCATGCCAAGATCACATGGCACAATCACATTTAATAAATAGGTACTCAGTATAAGCAGTGTGGTATTTATAGCAGCTTTATATAGAGAGGTGAGAGAGTAGAGGTTGAGCTATCCATCTTGTAGACAACAGGCCGAGTTCATATTGGCTTCACAGCATTTAATCTGATCTCTCTGAAGAGTGACCCGCTGCAATCAAGAAACATTCAGACTCACCCTGACTACTTAACTTCCTAGTAGCCCCCACTGCACTGCACAAGTGGCATCCAGAGAGGTTCATGTTCATCTTCTTTTGTGCCATCATAAAGTGTAACAGAGAGCATAAATGTGAATAATCCAGCAGTGAGGGCACCTGTACATATGTCAATGCAGCTTTAGAAGGATTTCACACAAAGAGGACATATAGGGACATCCAGCTGTCATTGTGCTTTAAGATATCATTACCTTTTCTACCCCTTAGTGTCTGCACATTACACACACCTCTTTCCTTTCTTAAGGAAGAAAAAACTTCTATTTCAGACGGACAGAAAACCCACAGACAGTTTCATTCTAGGTGTCTGATATTAGGTTTCCATTGTATTGAGCTCAGAATATTAGTTCAATTTGACTTCTATTTCTTCTCTATTTCTATCTGCACCCCCTCCTCCTTCTCTCTCATGTGCCCCACTCAGAAGCAACCAATGTTCTCATTATTATTTCAGTACTTGTTAGGGGAGCTGGGGTAGATGAATCCTTACAAACACACCCATGCATCCACACGTGTGCCCATTCACCATGCACACATTGGACACTGATGTGCAACAGACCAGAAAATTCTGACCTCAACCAAAAGTATCTCAGAAAAAAACACATGAATAAATAAAACTTATTAGATAATTAGACTTTAACGACTGAGAACAACACACAACACGCATGTATATTAAAAACAAAGTGTATTTAAACATGTTGACATGGTAACAATTACCTATATGTCAAGTGCATTATTGCTTTTTTTTAAGGAGCATGACAAAGTATGAAAGCATACACAATTATTCAAGCCTGAAGGTCATATTTTCTTTTGGAGCAGGACACTGTAAGCATTCGCACAGTAGGTCTGCAATTTCGATCAAATATAAACTGTATAAGCTATACAGTGAGTAGGTTAAGACGCCAGACTAAATTATCTACTGCAGTAAATGCAATCATTGTGGTGAAAACAAAACCTGTTGTGAAGACCATTCATAATAGGTATGTGGTATAGCCTCATCTTTTCTTTTAAAGCCTGTAACATAATCCTCAGAGAAAAAAATAAATTCATTTGATCTGCTGTTGTTCTCATTTATCAGTGAATGCTCGCTGGAAACAAGAAAGCCTGCATGCTATTTTTGGAGAGAAGATAGTTAATTGTTCAGTTATTAACTTGTAACACTGAATATTGTACAGTCAGGCGTTGCCATGATGCAGTCCCCACAGGGTAGACACATGCGTTTAGAGAACATGGGTGCAGTTATGGGGGGCTGAATGATTAGGAGGGCCCAATGAAAGAGGCCCTAGAATACAGCAAAGTTTATGGATGTGTGTTGTCTTTTTTTTGTTATCAGGGCTTTCTAGCAGCACCACTGCTGGGAGCAACTGAGTCAGTCAAAGCTTTGTAGGCAGGGGGAATGGGGACATCATATTTCTGTGCCAGAACCAGAAAAATAGCATTAGAAAAATGCCCAGAAAAATGTTGCAAACAACATCAACTCAGTACAGTTAGTTGTAAATTGATCAGATTAGAAAATCAATTCTTAAATTGGCATATTTCTCGCATTAGAGAAAATAACGTTGATGGGATGGATTTGTCACTCACTGACATTTCAGCAAGACTACAACCATAGAAACATAGCAACTAGCATCTATAACTCACATACCATCTAAGATTGATATTTAGCCTTTAATAAACATGCTATGCTCTCGAAAATTCCTTAAAATGAAAATATAGAGACTCTGTAAAGTCAGTATTTGTCTGTGCAAAATGTTTTTTGGCCATGAACTGGTTATATATATGGCACATACAGTATTTTATGTAACAATATGTCACTGATATAATGAGGAATTAGCATAACATGGTACATTTAACAATTTATTTTGCATTATGAGAAAGAAACCCAGGCTGCTAAACCAAAAGGCTGATATGCAAAACTATATCACATCTTAACTTTATACTGCAATAAATGAACATTACACAACTATTATTAATGTTGCCACTGAACATTAGAATTGAACAGCATGAAGCATGAATGCATTCAGGAGAGGATTTAAAGAAACTGAATGAAAAACTGAATGATCAAAAAGTGAGATTCAAGTGTGGGAACGCATTGAGCATTGAGACATTCTTTTTCTCTGATTCTTCTGTTTAAGACTTGACGCTTTCTCCCACAATAGTATCTTCTCTTGACTTGGCTGAAAGTCAAAATTACTCACCATCTTGCCTAAGATCCACTTAAAGTACTTATTCTCTCTCCGGAGGCCCTATGAATCACCCACTACCACTGAGCATATGCTAAAGAGTTAGCATGGAGCACCATCCATGTGTCCACAATCTGTTGTGGACACATGAATCGTTATGGTGCTTCTCCTCACTAACTGAATGATCTGCGACAATGACATGCACAAGGCCAGGCTCAAGTTGCCCGAGCAACAGCCCATATGCCCTCTATGGCTGAATTGCACTCTGAAGGAAAAATACGTTTTATTTTCGTTGTTGTTGTCGCATAAATACATATCCTATAATTGCTAAAGTTAGACCAGATCATCCAAACATTTATTACTTTTTGAAAGGCAGGACTCCAAAGGACACAGAGAGAAAACAAATCCCTACAGCATCCAAATTTGGTATTGTTGCGGTAGCCATCAGCCCTTTTTACAGGTAAGTGCAACCGCCCCAACGGTCTGTGCACATCTCTGATCTGCTATAATCATTTTGAAAAGGAAGCATGTACGGTTATGGGCTTACAAGTTGGACTGCTTGACAAGGGGTCATTGTTAAGAAGAGTAAGACTGCACCAGCAGAGGCTCGGATGTAATTAGTTATAATAATTAAGAGGATATTAATAAGCTTATGTTGCAGTGGCAGCACAGGAACAACACATTAACATGTTAAGCCTTCACCCCAATCAACATGTGTGTATTTGTGCAGGTTTGATGTGTTCAAGCTCTCTCTCCATAGAGCTTCTGTACATTTTCTTGTCAGTAAGTGTCATCACTGACCTTTTATAACAGAGATCTCACAGAAAATAATGAACCATGCACTGGCCATGAAATCATGACAGAAATAATGGTGATTAAACCAGCAGTGGCATTCAGCACGTAAAGATAGCTCTCCCATGAAGCTAGGCTTTGAGTGAAAATACCTAATAAATCAATGTGAAGATCTCTTGTAGTGCTTCACTTTTCAGCGGAAAAGTTTGACACAATACAGATTTGTCAGCGCAGGCGACACTGTGGGAAAAGCCGTTTTTTAATTCCATCAGTATTTTTGATTAGAGGGCAAGATACACAAAAGATCTGTTTTCTATGCCCACGCAGGTCCCACAAGGATGAAGTGGCCTTTCTCAGCCCCATTCAATCTGTTTCTAATGGGATCTGTTGCATTCAAAGGAGGAAGCAATAACAATACATGCAATGAAGTTGAGGAATGGAAACCGTATCTCACATCTCACAGGTGAGTGGATGTAAACACTTTTCTTACTCTCCCATTGGTCCTCACTCACACACACACAAACACACACACACACACACACACACACACACACACACACACACACACACACACACACACACACACACACACACACACACACTCACGATATAGGTATGACTTGGCAGTCATTTCAAAAGGTATCACCAATGCCCCCACCTGGCATCTACACTCAAATCTTTTTTTTCTTTTTTTTTTTTGCTTTCTCTTCACTTGAACACAGCCTGTAAAAATAATTTCACTTATGTTGCCACTAATATACAGTGTTCACTAGGATGCATTACTATCTGAAAGCAATTATATCAATATGTATAGCTAATATTTGTGAGACCCTTAAATGCTTGAGCCTACTGAAACTGGTGGCATTTCCAAAAAATTCTTAAAGCACTGTGAACATACTGGTATCCACACACACACACACACACACACACACACACACACACACACACATACATACATACATACATACAGACAAACACACACCTCTTCTCCACATCACCCCAGGCAAATTGTGCAGCATCCAATTCAGCAGGGAACCAATAGTCCTTGCATTGAAACTCATGAAATTTTAAATAAATCTATTATGTGCAGGCAAATGAACAACAAACAACAAAATTGCCTCATTCTTTTCATTACCCATAACACCATGAAGTTGAAAAGTTGGTGATTACGCACACAAATGAATACGCACACACACACACACACACACACACACACACACACACACACACGCTTAACTCAATTAACGCATTCTGTACCATCCACAAAATGATACACCTACATCATTTCACACTCACAAATGTGTTTCTATGCTGCACATATTCTCTGCGTGAATGTGAGCATCATTTGCCAATGTGTCTGTTGTTGATTTTATAATAACACTGTGCTGTCAGCTATAACCCCAAGGCATTTTCAGTTTTTCTGTGACGTGATGTGTCATTGGGCTTTTTACCTATACGAGTCCTGAACTTCGCCTGCCAGTGTGTCAGTGTGTTCTCACTCCAGCAGCTCTGTCCCTTCCTCTCGTGATGCTTTCTGTCTGTTTGCACTCTCATAAATGTGTCTCTCTCACACACTAGGAACCAGCAATGCTGTTGAATTTATGCAAACACATATTGTCACATAATAATTGATAAAATTAGGACATAATAAAGAACAGCAAAAAGGTGACGGTGGTAATACCCCAATGTTTGCTTCAAATAAATTAAGTGGAAATGTGGCTCTGGGACATAAAAGAAAAAGGAATTTGCCAGTGAAAAGAGGGAACAACAAAAGCTTTATAGTTGAAAGAAATTAATTATCGTCCTTCTTATTCACTTATTCTTTTTATGAGGACACTTATTTTATTTATTTGTGCCTTTTAAAAGCAAAATATTAATTGCTACCCTAATCTCAAGGAAGTAGTGGTTTTACACTTTTAAAAGGTGAGACTCTTAAATCCAAACCCCAGTCCATTTAGTATGATTCATTACAAAGAATATGCAAATTAATACTTAGTATTCACAGGTTTAGCTCTCACATGTTCTACTTTGTGTAAAGAGCTTAATCATATTCAGAGGTAACAGATGTCTGCAATAAAATGAAACAAACAAAGAGAAAGCCAGTAGTAGTGTGATCTTTAGCAGCACAGGTGGCCCCACAATCTGATTCTGCAATGCAGCTTTTATGCATTGACAGAAAAAGGGGCAGAACAGGTACATTAATCTGTGACTCACTGTTATTGAGAATGGCATGTTCTTTCCCCTGTGCCCAACCTCTCATTGAGGAAATCATAAACCATTCTAAATTAAATTATCTAATGAGCCTCCAACCCGAAGGAAAGTTTTAGATGGAGCATAATACCGCAAAGGCTCATTGTCTGTGTAGGCCTTCGGCAGTAAGGTTAAATCTAATTCTCATGAGGGATGGCGAGTCGTACGTTGCACTGAACCATCTTTCATTTAGTTTTTTGTATTTAACTGAGGATCACGTGCAGGTCAATCCTGCATCTTGATACCCAGTCAGAGCAAGGAGACAGCTCGGCACTGGGGATGTCAGATCAAAACAGAAGAAGGGAGCTTGGCACAGGCTTTGTCTGATTAAGTCAGCGTTCAGAAAGGAGCACTGGAGAGAGGGAGCTGAGACACAATGACACCAGCTTGGCTCCCTTAGATGGAGACAATCATCATGGGACTAATCAAGCCCACAATAAACAAAAAGCAAACATCCAACAGAATGGGATCTTATTCTGTCTAAGGCGAATGGCATTAATATGCTTTTCTCTAATGACTGTGTCCTCTCAAGGGGATGGTGATTGTCTCATCCCATTGATTTCCACGGAAAATCACTTGTATTGACCATAAACTGGTGCACTGTTCTGCAGCATCATTACAAACCCTTCCCATCGCCTACGACATACCGCCCCCAACCACTTACATTTAAATGGCCGAATGCGAGATAATTAGCGTGTGTGGCTAACTAGTTTATTATGTATTAATAAACTCAGAGTGTGCATAGAGACGTGTTAATTGGCTCGAGTTGGTGGTAGGCACTATACAAAGCTTGCCCACAGCCGGGGGAGGAGGCGGTGGTGGTGGTGGGGAGCA